AACATCGAATTTCGACATTTGGACGTGAAAAGTTTTCTAGAAATAGATCCCGGTGTTCTTATAAAATCCTGAAAGTTTCAGCAAGAACAAATGTTTTCTTCATAAGATAATGCATTCAGAAAGAACACCCACATCTCATAGTCATCTCAAGAGAACCGATGTTGATTGCAGATGTATTACCTGGAGAAGAAAGCATCTGTTCTTGGTAAAGCTTTCAAGATTTTATAAGGAAACTGGGATCTACTTACGAGCAAAATTTCCGGGCGAAATTTCAATATTCGATTTTCTCGTAACTTCTTGACCGTGCTCAGAAAACTCAGTAAAGTGATATCAACTCAGAAAGGAAGGTTCCCTGAAGTCTGTCCTTTTGAGATTTTTCATATCTCACAAATATCTACTTTTGAGCAGAACTTCAGTTCAAATGGTGTCGGATATCTGAAAATGTCCCCTTGCCAGTTACAGCAGTTAATGGAGATTATTTTCGCCAGTTTTTACTGTACTCCCTGTACTCCGTGTACTTTCAGGAGTACTGTGGTACGGGGTACGTTATTTTTTCCTTGGATTTATCACTTAAGATCGTTTCCTCGTGGGTGACTTTTCCATTAAAACAGTAGTTATATCATCGGTTCGTACAACGCCGCATCAGAACCAACGAGGTTGCACAGATCACTCACCTAATCGAAACTGAATATCGTTGTGACAGAACGATGTTGTGATCTTGTGCTTGGGGTCGGACTTTGTAGTTGAATTTCGTTCTCGGAGTTCATCCGAGCTACTCTTATTATCTGAAGGTGGAGATTGAATGTGTAATGAAGTATTCGGTACGATTTCAATCGGATGACAAGCCGATTTTTCGATGATGGACGCTGCTACAAGCCCGGTATTTTCGTTCGGTCGATAGATAGGCGTCGAAGGGTTTTCGTCGACTTGCGCATCTGGATCAATGAAAATCTCTCTCTTTCGTTTGATTGTAGTCGCATAATCGAATATGAAGGCAAGAATGCGGATGTAACATCGTTCTACACCAATAGAGATGTTTAGAGCGGATATCACGAGAACCAACACGCTGATACTGACCATCAGCAGACATAGAATACTTAATATTGTCAATGTTTTCTCTACGATCATCGTAGCCTGTTTGAAAGATCACGATGGTAGGTGATGATATAGTCTAGAACAAAACTCAATTGTCAAATTCAGTTATGAGAAGAACATCGATAATGAATCGAGGCGATTCAAAGATCGAATTTTGGAAACATAGTGAACGAGAAAGACAATATTGATCTTTGTTTGTTTTTCTACAGAACTGAGAGCGATCCAAGTTTCATGATTGGCGACAAAGAGAGAATATTGGTTTTTCTCTTATTTTTGCAAATTCTTGAGACACACATCATACTGTCTGCTCAAACTATATGAATCGCGCGAACAAATCTCATTCGCTGTTGACCGTTTTGTTTATCTTAGAAGATTAGAATTATACATGATGTATTTTCTTTCTTTTTCCATTGTTCTTAGGTTTTAATTCTGTGAATAACTCACTTCAACTGAAAAGCAAGCTGATGACTAACTGACTCGAACGAGCGAACAAAACAAATAGGATTTACGCCTCGATTTCTTCTACACAACAATATGACATTCATCTTTTCTCTCGTTTTGATATCCGTGCACATTTACACCTGACCAAGAACGGTAGAAACAACAGATCCGATCACGATAATGACATCAAGACACATAATTTTCTCACAAACTACTTCGATTTATTATCGGATTTGGAAATAGATTCGATTACTTAACAAAGAAAGCAGACGGAAGTCACGATACTGTTAAAATAAAAGAGGTACTCATTGTACTAAGGGGTGTATTCCATAAGCGAAAAAAAGATATTGTGCTTTTTGCTGTCATAATCTAATGAGAGGATTATCTACAGGAGAAGCGATCCAAAAAAAAATCCTTAGCCAACACCGTCCATCAGATTCACATAAGAGACGCAAATCGGTTTAGCAAATGTTTAAAGAAACCAAGTCAGTTATTTCTAGGCTATAGTTGAACCTGCTGATAAATGTTCATCGGCTTTATCCGATGCACACAAAGCATTGTTGTGTGCATTTTTATCTTG